GTTGGTTCTCGATCATATGCCACTTCCTGAAATGGATGATCATCTACCACTTCTTTTTGGTACAGTGACTCTGTGTATTCCATCCATCTTCTTTTGGTGTTTCCTGCATCATTCAACATATTGCCCACAGAATCTTTCAGTATTGCAATTCGCGGCTTAAATTTTTTTCCTCAGTTCTTTCAGCTTAAGTAATGTCGCACATGTACTTCCCTTTTGGTTTTCTAATCTAGGTCTTTGTACATTTTATTATAATAATTGACTGTCTTCTCAAGCTGCTCTTTGAAATCTTCGGTTCAGCTTTCTTATCCTGTCAATTCTTCCATTTGCTTTAGCTACTTTCTGTTAAGAGCAAGTTTCAGAGTCTCTTTTGACATCCATTTTGGTCTTTTCTTCCTTTCCTGTCTTTTTAAGGACCTTTTGTTTTCTTGATGGGTGATGCTCTTGATGTCATCCCACAATTCCTCTGGTTTTCGGTCATTGGTGTTCAATGCATCAAATCTATTCTTTAGATGGTCTCTAAATTCAGGAGGGATATAATCAAGGTCATATTTTGGCTCTCATGGACTTCATTTAGTTGTCTTCAGCTTCAACTTGAAATTGCATATAAGCAGTTGATGATCTGTTCCACAATCAGCTCCTGGCCTGGTTTTGGCCGAAGATACTGGTTGAGCTTCTCCATCGCCTCTTGCCACAGACAGAGTCAGTCTGATTCCTGTGTACTCCATCTTGCAAAGTCCATATGTATAGCCACTGTTTGTGTTGTTGAAAAAGGTATTTATGATGACTAAGTCGTTGGTCTTGCAAAATTCTATCATGTGATCTCCAGTGTCATTTCTGTCACCAAGGCCATATTTTCCAACTCCCAGTGATTCTTCTCTGTTTCCAACTTTTGCATTCCAGTCACCCACAATAATTAACAAATCTTGATTTCATGTTTGGTCAATTTCAGACTGCAGAAGTTGATAAAAATCTTCAATTTCCTCATCTTTGGCTTTGGTGGGTGATGCATAAATTTGAATAATAGTAGTATTAACTGATCTTCCTTATAGATGTATGGACATTTACCTATCACTGACAGCATTGTACTTCAGGATAGGTCTTGATACGTTCTTTATGATGATGAATGCCACGTCGTTCTTCTTCAATTTGTCATTCTCGGCATAATAGATCATATCATTGTCTGAATCAAAATAGCCAAAACTAGTTAAGTTCAGCTCACTAATGCCTAGGATATTGATCTTTATGTGTTCCATTTCATTTTTGACAACTTCCAATTTTCCTACATTCATACTTAGTACTTAGTACACTCTATGTTCCAGTTATTAATAGATGCTT